GACTTCTGGGAATCATCCCGAAGCCAACGGCCAGGCCGAACAGATGAACCGCGCTGTGCAACACCTGTTGAGGCATTATATCAAGCCCAACCAGGTGGACTGGGACGAAAAGCTCGCATTTGTCGCCAGTCTATATAATAACGCTGTACACAGCGCTACAGGGGTGAGTCCTAACAGTCTACAACTAACGTTTAAGCCTAGACTACCCTTAGACTTCCTACTACCTGACAACCAGCCAAGTGCTGCACCAGGCACACTAGAGTTTGTCTACCGATATGAACAGAAGATGCAGGAGGCTGTAGAGCACATGCAGAAGGCGCAGGCAGCAATGATAGAAACTGAGAACAGACACTGCCGCCCTTCTACATTTCAGGTTGGGAACAAAGTCTGGGTCAAGTCCTCGGAACTAGGACAAGAGTTTGGGATATCTCGCAAACTCATGCCTCAGTACTTTGGGCCTTGGGAGGTTTTAGACATAGTTGGGACAGATCCAGATGGGCCATCCTATGCCATTCGTATCCCTGGTCATCTCAGGACTTACCCAGTCTTTCACGCCTCTAAGCTCGCTGCATTCGAGGACACTGATCAGTTTCCCTCTCGTCGGTCAATGCTGCCCCCAACCATGGACGGAGAAGTCGACATCGATGATATCGTCGACCACAGAGAGATGCCTGTTCAGAAGCCTCTGGGCAGGGGACGTCCTCCAAAGCCAAAGCTGCAGTTCCGTGTCCATTTCAGACATCATACAGATCCGAAGGAGGACCGCTGGTTTACTCGGGAGGAATTGATGCAGACCACTCCTCAAATCGTTGCCCGTTATGAGAAGGATGTATTGAAAGGAAAGCGCCAGATGGCTCAGGATTGATCTTCTCAGAGGACTAACGAAGATATGGAGGAGGGAATGCGAGGCTACGCCCGCTCAGCCCCCTCGGGGCCCTTTTTGCAGTATGTCGGCCGCCCTAAGTGAAGGCAGTCGCGACAGGCCCTCAGGGCCTCGATTTTCAGGGTACCCCGCAACTGGTGAAATTCAGACAGTTGCGCTGCGCCAGTTGGTTGAAGGCGCCCAGGCCCAGGCCATATTTTGCAAATGTATCTGAATGGTGACCTGGGCCAGACTCGTGGAAAAGGCCGTGAGCAGGCCAAGGGCAGTTGGGCACATGTAACCATCAGGCCCTGGACCTGCGTGTGGAGGTCTGGGCCTGTGCCTACCGGGGCCTACCGGAATCTTCCTGGACTGGACGCAGGCAGGCCACTTCGATATAGGGAAGGGCCTGCCTCCTCATTCGGCATTCAGGTGCTGGCTGCATGCTGCGCAAGCGCTGCTGCTGCGCTATTTGCTGGCTGGCGCCTACGCTCTCACGGGCGAGCAGGGAAGGAGCACGCAGCCATAGCCAAGCTGCGCTGCTGTATGCTGGGTAAAGCGCAGGGTGGTCCTTGGGTGCTAGTGGCATCTGTGAGTTGGGGAACGGGGTTGTGAGGGTAGCGCAAGACATACCTGGTGCTGAAGCGTGCGACATTGGTCGCCATATGCTCGCACTTCGGGAACGCTGTTGATGTCATCATTCTGCTTCGTAGTATAGGCTAGATAGGATCTGCCACATGTAGTCTGGGCGCCAAGCGCCAATAGGATATCAACTCTGGTTCTTCGCTGATGATGATGGGACTACTTCAGCATTGTCAATGATGAACTCTTGGTGTGTTCTTATTTGGTGTATCTCGTGATGCAATTCTGCGTTTGGTTCGAGGTCAAGACTATCTGGACTCATATGTGTGATGCTGTTGGATTGTTGGAGTTCGCTATCACTCATCTTCCTTGCACCCATATATATATATCGTCAAATATATATATATATATATATATATATATATATATATATATATATATATTTCATGCGTTAGAAAAAAAAAAAAAATCCTGCACCAAACTCGGCTGGTCGGTCGAGGCCGAACCTGGCCGATTCGGCCATCGGTCGAGGCCGCGGTCGATTTCCCCCCCCTGGCCGCGGCCGGGCGTGCAACATAGGCTCATTATATCGATCCAAGTAACGTACGGCGAGGCTTGGGTTGGAGACTTAGCTGTTGGCCAAGGTTGGAGACTTATCGTCTCTCTCTCTCTCTCTCTCTCTCTCTCTCTCTCTCTCTCTCTCTCTCTCTCTCTCTCTCTCTCTCTCTCTCTCTCT